GCAAAATTCCATGCAGATGTTGGTGCGTCTTAAGGGATTTTTTGTACACGAATAATATAATCTTTCGCGAAACGGTTCTTAGATGAATGGAGTAGAAAATTTTCATAAAATGACTCTATTATATTATTTTATATGAACTAAAGCAATAATTTGTCGATTATCTCCACTGGCAGAGACCGTAAAAATTGTATAATCTAGAAGGTTTGACAGAATTAATTATACAAAGAATTAACTGTATTTCACAAGTACAAATACAAGGCAAAGTTAATTCAACTTTTCGCTTAACTGGCTAACAAATGGCAGAAAAATATCTAACATAGTCAGCAGTGTCTAACTTATAAAATTCTTACTTATCAATTCTTCAATTAAATGATCTAACTAAGACTTTGACGGTGAAACGGTATCACGGAAAATGTTTTACACATTTTCAGGCAAACCGGGAAGGTCTATATGACCGCCTTTGAGGTTTGGTCAGCATGGGCGGTGTTGGTGACGCTGCTGATGAATTTTGCCAGCAGAAAATTACTGTACCGCGTCTGGCTTCCCTTCGAGTATAACTCGGCAACAATATACTCCTTGGTCTACCTGCACCACACACTAACAACCCTGATCTGCGCAACTGCAGTGGTCGCGTATGATACCCTATTCACCGGACTGATGATACAAATATACTCTCAGTTCGAGATACTTCGGCATCGTCTGCGAAACGTTCACAGGAACGAGAACGATTTAGTCAAACATTGTGCCCTTCATCACGATCACATCTACAAGTTGGTTGTCATATTTCGTACCGGTAGAGATTTTAGGCAGCAGATTATTATTATGCTTCAACATATTGATTTGCCAAGACTAATCTGTCCTACTTGCCAACAATTCTTTTTCCTTGAATAAATAAATCATAATAATTAAAAAATAGAAATATGTGAAAAATAATACTAAATAAGATATAATAATAAGCTATAACTAATAAGAGATAAGCTAAGCTAAGCTAATAAGGGATAACTCGTGGTTGGCAGTCAATGTGTTAAATCGCACGTGAACGCTAGAGTTAAGGAACCATACCACGTTCACGAAAATCGTTGCAGGTTCGCTAACATGGTGAACAACGAATTCAGAGCTGTTATGTTCATACAGTTCGTCCAGAGCACCGCCGTTCTGTGCTTCGGCCTCTACCAATTGATGATGTCGGAACTTGACGGCAATCTAGCTGACATTGCCTTTTACATTACTTGTTTGCTTCTTCAGATTTTCTACTTCTGTTGGTTTGGGAACGAGGTCAAGTTGAAGGTTTTCAGTCAATTTCTTCTCGATCCACCCGCTGACCGAATGATCGTCATTCTGCGATCCGTTGATCACTTATTCGATACGCATTTTCTGAGTTCACTACTGTGTAGTGTGTTTCAGTTTGCCTCCAAATAGTGTAACTTGCATTGTAGAAATCCTTCGCGATGTGGTGTGAATTTTTAGTCCAGTCAGCCGGTTCATATCCTCAGAACATGTCCGCAAAGTTTCTCTTTGCAGAGTCTCGAGGTGTCCGACATGATCTTCGAAATCGAATGGACCACGCTGAGCAACAAGACGAAGAAGATGCTTCTGATGATGATGCGTCGGGCTACAGTGCCGATTGAACTCACCAGCCTCCACATCGTCTCCGTCAACATCGAGAGTTTCAAGGCGGTATGTACAAAACTGCTTGCCCGTGCTTCTCGGACACACTTATCGTCCGATTAGCAACCGATAAACGAAGTAACTCGACTGTGTGTTTCTTTGCCGCAGTTGATCAAAACGTCATACTCGGTATTCAATCTGATTCGACAGAACTAATTACGATAGACCGGTTGTGGATCATCTGTTGCATTGGATCGGAAACGTTCTTATAATTTAATACACACGGAATCAGTGGTAACGAGGTGGAAAATGTAGTCGAGCAGTACGTTGATGTACTACTAAAAGTATACGCAGTAAATTGTTTGGTCGGAGAAATGTTTGCCTTTGGAAAACCTTCCTTACTGCCATCGAAGCAATTGCTACAATATCTTGCGTGCTGTCCGATGGCGTGACTTCGACCGCACCATGCTATTTGAATGAAATATTTTAATTCGGTGCTACATGCGTCATCGGACAATGAAAGCCCATCATCATTATTGCAAGAGCAGGTACTTTTTCACTACCACTTAGCGCAAGTTTTTGAATCGTTTGTTATTTCCACTGGTGCACATTTCCCTCCGTTGATTTTTAGTCGACCATTGCTGCTACCGACAAGTAAGCGACCGTCACCGCGCTGTTACCGGTGCTCAGTGTAAAATATGTATTTCCCTGTGTGCAGCACAACCAACTACGAAGTATCGTATCCCTTCCATCATTCACTATTAAATACTGTCCCCCTACCTAAGCACACCCCTCCGAGACCCGTGCAAAGGTGCTGCAGAATAAAATACGGGAAAAGTCGAGGAAATGTAGATACTGCAAGGGTTACAATCTTATTTTCGAAATGGCAATTGCGACAATCGCGCGGGTTCCTCGGTAGTTGTCATAATAATATAGCCTGCTAGATCGAAGGGGACCATCGAGAGGAGACTATCAGAGGGTGCTGAAAGAATCCGATAGCCTGTGCTAGTCAGTCGGGTTTCAGTCTCTGTATCGTGAAGTCGTGGTTCTCTCATTTTTTCAAATTCCATTTTGCTCGCAGTATGCTAACGAAAGAAAACATTTGTTCGAGGAAAACGTGCAGCAGAACGTGATTCGTGAATTCGGTGTAAAAAATATTCTGAATAATCGTTATACTTCGTTTTAAGCGAATTCAAATATATAAACATCTTGTAAATGTGATCAATTTTTGAGAGCTAATGAGATAAGATTATATTCGTGATGACAACTACGCTACGAACAACGCTTTTGATACTCACATCGTTAGGTTGTCTAAGGCCATGCACCTGGACATCATCGCTCAAGAAATATTTGTATTCGGTGTACTCGGCCATAATAACCAGTCTCCTGCTGTCTGCATTGCTATCGCATACTCTCGACATAGTATTCAACGTCCAAACTCAGGAAGATCTCAGTGACAATATTATCATCACGGTCTCTGTGGTTGGATGTATATGCAAGATGTACACCTTCTTAGCGAATAGAAACAATATCATGATCCTGATAAGAGCTTTGCGGAGAAAGCCGTTCATGCCTGTGAATGAGGAAGAGATGAACATCAAGATGAGATTCGATAAAATAATCGAGTAAGTACTTTTTAATTATTTTCTAATTTAATATCAAACCGGCACCTACTAAAATTTCGCAAAAATAAAGTAATTTCATGAACTAGTTTCGTTAGCTAGTTCCACATCTTCCCATTTTAACACTTTTAGTACCACATCAACGAGTTCAAAAATATCATAAAAATATTTGATTTGATCAAAATAAAATTGAGAAGTACAGTTTTATGACATGAATTACTTTCTCGAAATCCGTGCTTTCTG